CAGAGGCGAACAACTTGTGTTTCGCGCGCTCATATGACCTTAGCAGTTGCGAGCGCCGTAAAACCTTATACTACTACTACTACTAGTCTTCTATGTTACCATATTTTATTCACTTACCTTATGTGCTGTAATAAAATGAAATCCAATACAGAATATTTCAAAAAAGATTGTCTTTGTGTTGTATTTTTAACATATATCTGCAGGTAGGATTCAAACAATTTGTTTGAGGTGCCATGCATGGCCCGGAACTTGGCCTTGCAGTGAGCCAAGTTGCCCTCGATCTTGTTAGTGTGTACTGTAGGGTTCTTGGGGTCTACGAAGTGCAGGGAGTGATTTACACTTAAGTGGTCTGGCAGGCCGTTATAGGCTGCCCACTGGTCAGTTATTGTTGTTCCAGGCAGTACATGGCGCTGGATAAGGGGGAGTAAAGTGGCTGCTGAACGGTTTTCCACAGGAATAAGTACACAGTTGTCACTTTCTCTTAGTCTTTCTATTATTTCAAGTGTCCAGTGACCTTCACGATACGTACCCCGGTGGTACTTTCGGTGCATGAATTTGGATTCATCTATTTCTACTGTCCTGTTGAGGCCACCATGTTGCACATGGAGCTAACAAGAGCACACTACACCGGCTTCTGATTGGCTGAAATATATCAATGAAATGACGCCATGAGGACGATAGCCTACACCGGCTTCTGATTGGCTAAAAACTAGATCTAGAGTCATTTAGACTGAACGTATCTTTTTTACAATGACTTGATTAACAAGGCACTAGAACAATATATGTCCTACAGTTGACACAGGGGGTAGAAGCTAGTGAACTACTGTAGTTTTTATCTATACTATACTGATCTTTGCTTTGCCTCTGCTCTACTATAGAGATCACCAGCAGACACTCGCTCGCTCAATGGCGACCTAGATTTCCTACTATATTCCACTAGGCCTAAAGTCATATACTTAATATTACCAAATTTGGTATGTGTACATACGTCACTATATACAGCCAATCAGAAGCCAGTGTAGTGGGCTCTAGTTAGCTCCTTTTCCAAGTTGCAGTGGGTGGTCAATCAGATACTGTGCACAAATGTCTCTAATGTAGTTTTGCCCATCTATCAGCGTTTTTTGGGGTAACACTAACGTCTTCTGCAACGTAGGTTTGACGCAAGTCAAATGCCCAGTAAAAAATTATATTGAGTAATTGAGTGTAGGACAGGTGTCAGCCTTAAAAAAATTATCCTCTCCGAATGCTCCTTTGACGTCGGCAACGTTTGCAGGATCATGCCCAACCGTCAACAAAAATGTCACCTTGACGTCGTTGAAAGCTCATCTAAGGCTCATTACAAGAAGAGCATAACAACGAATTTGCAATCAAACAGTGCTCTGCTAACCATTTAATTGAATCCAAAACTACTTGTGATGTTGCATAGCTCTCTGTGGAAAATCTGCAGGTCTTGGAGTGCATTCGCCTCCCTAAACAAACGGGAACAATGTTAGTGGCTGCAGAGGGTCGTCCTCTTCTAGCAGCCATGTAACACAGATCGCGCGAAAAACCGGATGGTGAACATAATACCCCTTCTCGTTGTGTATTAGACCTCTATACTTCGATTGTGTACCCTGGATCATGATAGAATTTGGGTTGGGTCCGCTGAAAACCTGGCAAGCCAGCGCACCTAAATAAAAAAAAAGTTGATCCCCCAGAATTAAACGAGAGAAAGTAAACAATTACCAACAAACCTACTGTTGTAGACCTAGCCTAGCGAGTCAGTAGATTAACTGTTAGATCTAGGCCAGGTTAGGATCTAGATTCTAGAGTCTAGATTAGGTCTAGATTCTAGATCTAGAATCTAGTCGTTAGATACACCTCACAAGTGGGAATATAGACTATGGTATAATTTAGCCTTAGGCTACTGGTACTATTAATATGTCGGCTTTATGAGTAAGCTCACAGCTTTTTGTAACTAGATCAAGATCTAGTGCAACTTGAATTTTGATCTAGTGACCTTCTCCGGTTTTGACCCCAAAGAGTAGGCTACTGGATATAGATCTAGATAGATATTGACTCTAAATATTCAGTGTCGATGTTTTATCAGAAAATGAAAGAGAGCGAGAGATGTGCTGCTATTTTTCAGTCAGCCTACTAAATGAGTCGTAATATTTTACAAACTTGTTTTAAACAAAAGGAGGTTTCAGGGCCCCTCTCCTAATAAAAATATGGGGGAGGGGGTGCCCCCCTGAATTTAACCACAATTTGATGTTAAGCATTTCCCAGTGACTGCGTTCTCGCCGTGAACGATCATCCACCATTAGCACAGAGGCACGACTGAAAACACTATGGTCACTCAAAGTGAATGAGGGAACAGCACAGGAATACTCGAGTAAAAAGTAATGCAGCGGTGGTCCAAAAGCAGAGTTTACGAAGGGCAAAGGTGGGCACTGCAAAACAGCTGCGGTCAACAAGTCCTCGCTGGTTCAACGCATGAAACACGAATTCAGTCCTTTTCCTGTGTGTGCGGACCCCGCAACACTCGACAATTTGAAAATAAAAGTCGTTTGAAGAAACAAGGGAGAATGGAAGAAGGCCAAAGCAGGAAGAGGGGTGGGAGGAGAGTAAAAAAAAAAAAAAAAAAAGGGAAAAGGGTAGGGGGTGAAGTGAGCAAGATCATCCTTAAATTGCAAACTACATTCAGGGTGCATTGAACGTAGCCTTTTAACTACGTTCACTGCATTTTTTTATATCTCTCACTCTCCGTGCATAAAACATCCTTTCCCTGATGGGCACGCATGTCGAAAGGTAATCATTTAGAACCAGAAGTAATCGTCGATAGAGCCAAAATCCTCTCTCCATAGTTAGGCCTATGGTTGGGGCCAAAACCCAATTATCCGTATCCCCAACTAGTTTACTGTAGGCTACCTGTACCGGACTAATTCTTGCAATGCAGTAGATTTCAACATTTTTTCTTGTTACAAACAAATCCTTCAGGCTCTTTTTTTACTTCCAACTCTGGAAGGCTTAATTTTAAGGCTCATGCCACTGTCATTCAAATTCAGATGTGTATTCATCTGATGATTGCTCTGTTTGTTTGAGACTAAGTGTAAGAGCCTACAGGCCATTTTCCTATTATTCCACAACTTTTTAGGGGGAATAAAAAAAAATATGCCTCCTCCACACTGTCCAAGCCAAACCCACATGTAAGAGCAAAAGAAATTGATGCACATTCTTTTTTACTTTCTTGCTCCATGTTTGATATCTCTTAAATTCCAAATAACTTGAGCAACAACACAGCCCCTCTAAAGTCTCTTGCGTAAGTTCTTTGAATCAAAGAAAATGTTGACTTGAGCTGAGAAAGTAGTCCCACAAATTTGTACTCATGATATAACTAATTCATGGAACAAACAACGTATTGGAAATTAGAAATTAAGGGGGAGGGGGGTGTCACAATTACTTTCTAGTTATCCACCTTATTTTGTTTGTTGAGCAGAGGGGTTTCCTAAGCTGCTGTGGTAGATGAGCCAGTCAGAGCACAGTAAAATCAGATTGTAGTTCCTCATTGTGATTGATGTAACAGACATCACAGACAAGCAAAGTGCTCCAATAAAGTCAAGAGTTCTCCGATTTTTCTCTTTTTTTGCCCGTCAAAGAACCCATTATGAAATTGCGTAAAATTCATCTTTCTTCTTGGATTTTGTCTCCATCAGATTAAGTCGTTTATGCGACTTTTATTGTTATTGTATGACATGAAGATACACATTTTTATTTGCAATTTTGTATTTATTTGCATTATTTGTGCGAGTTATATTGAAATGTAACGCTAGTGGTTTGATGAAGTCACTGATAGGTCCTATTTTTTTTACTTTCCCTCTGTTGTTTCTGTCTGTCTATGGTTCTTTTTCTCAGCACTGAATGATAATTTTATTATGTCGATTTTTTTCTCTTTACTTAAATAGCTCAAATTGATATGAAAGCACACGTTTTTATTTGTGTGTATTTGCAATGAACGTTCATTTGCTATGGTTGGTTATTTAATCTTAATTTACTGGGGTACTTGAGAATGTGATTGTTTTTTCCCAAACTCCTTATTATATAGGATTTGAAAGAAAACTATTTTGTTTTTCACGTAAATTCAAAGGCTAAATTTAATTTGATATTTTTATAAACTCAGTTGGGTTTATTTTTTGTTTGCACTCATTTCAGTCTCAAGAAATTGATGAGATTATCAAGAGACTTCAAACTCACAAAGGAGTCATTGGAATCATAATTGTCAACAGTGATGGTAAGTTTCTGATCTTTCGGTGTGTATGGGATCACACAGTGATAAATTGAAGCTAATGATGAACTCCTTGACTGGTGTACCTATCTTACGGCCTTGAGATAGGTAATGTTTCTCCTAGTGTTCACTTTCATATGACTATATGTAGTTGCCAAACTAATCTCAAGTTTTGTGCAGTCCTAAGCTGTAGTAACTGGATAAGACCCTTTGCCCTGGTTGGCAGCTGGCCTAGGCAATCTGACAGAGCATGGTCTGCAGTTCTGGCAGCTTCTGCAGCTTGATGATGATGTTTGTGTGATTTTGAAAGTTTTGGTCTCACTTTTGGTGGTCATTTCTTTGCACTTACTAAATTTAATAATATTGTTTTTCAGGCTTCCGTTGGCCTAAGTACCCATATGTACTGTTATTATGCAGAAGTTCTTTGCTCATTTTATTATACATTGGCATAGCTCAGTGGGTGGTTAGCAGGTGCTCTGGTGTGGTTTGCTCCTTCTTTCGTATCGAACATCTATCGTCTTTATCTCCCCTCCTTCTTTTTTGTGTTTGTTACTCCCTTGTAACACCTCTAATCTTCACCACTTATATGACCTTATTGTGTTACAAGTGCTGTAAAACCTTACCAAAAAAAAAAGTTGATCTCGTGCATTATCATCTAAGGAAATAAAAATTGACCCCTATGCAGCAGAAACATTAATATTATATAATTGTAATTATAGATCACATTCATGTAGCACATATCAATATCAGTGCTGGGATTTGGGAAGTAAACTCTATATGTATGTACTTTACATCTTATTAAAAAGACAGACTGTGAACATTTCAAGACATTCTTAGCTCTTAATCTAATAGTGACCAGGGCCTTCGCTATCATCTGGTTTGGTAAGATGGCACCTCGTACTATCATCCTCCCAGCCTAAATGCAGATGCGATAAAATGATGTGGAAAGGAAGATCTTTAGTACTTTAGCTTCTGTAATTGATTTTGTCTCAATGAAAACATGTGTCAGTTTCTGTCCTTATAGCCATGCTGTTTTAGTACAAAGTCTGCTCAAAGCATGCCACGACCACTTTTAGACTCTTCGTTGCATTTCTTGTAAAGTTGCTTGTATTACCCAGCATTCTTGTCAGAAGTATTGGGTGGTATTACGGCAAAGAGATTTTGTGCTTCAGTCCATCAGAGTGACTAGGTATTGTCTATTTATTCTATTGCATGTACAGTGTTCCATGCACATAGCGAACAGAGTTTGAGGTTCCCAATTTTTGGGCATACGTTGTATTCTTTGTTTGACACTCCTACACAGCGAATTACAGACATTATGAAAAGAATTCTGCCTCCAACTGACTTCGATATGTGCATGCTAGATTGTATTTTGTAATGTCAATGAACACCATTATATCCATCTTCCAGGTATTCCACTGAAGTCCACGCTCGACAATGCAACTTCAATCCACTATGCCAGCCAGATTCACAGCCTTACGTCCAAGGCTAGAGCGGTTATTAAGGAAATTGACTCGCTAAACGACCTGCGCTTCTTAAGGGTTCGATCCAAAAAACATGAAATCCTTGTTGCTCCAGGTATATTTCCCATACTTGAAGTTTTATAACTTTAGAATATTTTAGAGACATGGTTTAAGAATATAAATATTGATGCATGTATCTTTGAAATGAGCTTTATGAAAACTAGTAAATGAAAATTACCAACTGCCGTATAATAATTATATTTGTTGCCTTTCTTGTTTTATTTGCTGATAATTTTTTTCTTTTTTTTTTGGTAAACAATTTTTCTTGAAGTTCTAAATGCAACCTGATATACTGTGTTGTAAAGTTTTGTAGTTAGAGAAATATTGTAGTCCAGATTTTCTGTGAATGAAGTGTGGAGGCCTATTAGGTGCTCATGTGACATTACTTGCATATCAAATTTTTGAAGAACTCAGCTTGGGGAACTGTGCCAGTGGATTGTTGGTAGGTGCTCAGGTGTATTTTGCTCATTCTTTCCTGTCAAACAACTATTGTCTTTATCTCGCCTCCATCTCTTTTTTTTTCAACAACATATTTTAATCAGCCCTAGGGCAGTCCTAAGAATACAACCCCCTCCAGTTGGGACCTCAGAAGTAATTGGTTTATTTTCTTCATTTTGATCAGTCCTGCCTAAGATAGCCAGATGTCTTATACTAGGTACAAGAAACTAAATTTTCAAAGTAGTTGTATGCCAAATTTATCAGTTCCATTTGAAAGGCCTATATCCACTGAGCATTTTGGTACCATTCTTTAACCTCTCAGTCAATTTTTAAGAAAATGGTAGTTGTTTAAAATTTGATCAAATTTGTTAAAGTCAGTCACTGGCTGCAACCCCATGTTTGACAGATAATAAAGTCGGCTCTATACTGTAGTGTACCCCGCGTGCGGGGTCACATGCTTTCTGAGTCTCGCAGAAGGATTGATAAAAAATAATTCCAGACTGATTACTATATTTTAATAGAAAAGAAGCTGGTCTTTTATTAGATATATTTTTAAAGCCGGTATTTGACATATTATGGGTAAAAAATTATCTTTAAACATTTTGACAGTATTTTTAAAAGCTTTCTATTTAGACGCCAAAGGCAAAACACATACCACGGGAAAGCCCGTTTAAAGCTCTACAGTTCTCCGCCAATGAAAAGACGGTATTTAATCATTCCTCGTTCCGCGAAGCATTTGAATGCACCCGTGTCAATTTTTCAACCGGCCGACCAAGCATTCCGACGGCGAGGGGCTTCGCTTTCGTCGGCAATTCTCCAGCTCCTACTAATCGGACATAAAAACAATTTACACCATTGTAACGAGGAAAAGCTGAACTTTTACAAGGTGTACGGCACTTGGTGTTTTATAGCGAAAGAGCAAAGAAATAGCGATCGGAATTACCCCGATTTCACCGATACCACGCGGTCGGAAGGCCGCGAGTGCCCGCGAGGCCGTGTTTACGCTACCTACTTATACTGCCACTTTTCCCCTCGACAATGCGTGGCCGTCTTACGCAGGTTCGACTGTATGTTGATATTTATATGAATTTGTGGTCCCAAAGACCTTTGAACTGCGCACTAGTCATCATCTCATTTCGCCCTCCCGAAAAAAATTCGTCTACAAGCCAAAAATAATCCGTAGCAAATGAGTTAAGAAGCATTTTACCGAAATTCACATTCTGAATGTCAAAAAAAGTTGGATAAAATACATAATGTAGGTACAGTTGTTAAGGGAAAGTTTTTTGCTCTTTTCAGAAAAATTTTGCTTTTTGGGTTTAGTACATTTGAACAGCTTACCTATGATATCTATATTATATTGTATATAGGCCTATACATGATCAGAGTTTGTTTACCCCCCAGGGGCGGTGCGACTGACTGAAGTGTCTTTAGACCATTCCCAAAGGGGGACATTTCTCGTTCATGCACAGTAGAATTGTAAATGGGCTGATTCATCAATGTCATGCTCATAACTGTGCCTGATCTACAACAGGGAACTGCTGCTTTTTCTTTCCTAATCCTTACTATTGTCCTTTTTCCTCTACTTCTTTTGTATGTTTGTCACTCTTGTGACCGCTATTTCCGGGGTGCCTTGATAGTCGAAGCAGACTTTGTGCTGTTGAAGCTAGAGAGGTGAGCAGAGTAAGTCTGATTCCCTGTAAGGACTTCTCTGTTGACATCCACCCCTTGGCACCCATATGACCTTATGCAGTTGCGAGCACCGTAAAACCTACTAAAACTAAACTAAGAGTTTGCTTTGTCTGCTCCACAGATCACGACTACTTCATGATTGTGATACAGAACTGAGGCTGACGACAATCCTCCCATCTCTGCTGGCTAATCAACAATTGTATGGATTTTGGAAGTTGTGTGTGTACCTGTACTTTGCTCTTTTGTTTTGATGTAGAAATGTTATTGTTATTGATGAGGCCAGGTGAATTTTGTCATACACAGGCACTTGCTCATCAACGAAGCTGATCACGGTTAATGTATTGTACATGGTTGAAGTCCAATATTGTTTTTAGCGCACTGAATTGTATACATGTAGCTGGTCTATATCTCATGTAAGAAAGTTGTGAACACTTAAACTGCATGAATATTTGAAATACATAATGGGCAGCTTTTGGCATTTGTAAATTTTTCAGTGGAAACTCTCCATATAGGTGGATGCTAAATTTCCTTTTACAGAAATGATTGTTCGCCACCAAGAGTCATATTTTTTAAACATATAACATATATATCTGTTTGCTCACTATGAGAAAGTCAATTGTTTATTCAGTTCTATGGGAAAAATACTGATGTTCTGTCTGGTGTCTTGTGTTTATGAAGTCTTTGGCATTGTGGTGAAATCAAGCGCTCGTCAAAATAATGGACTTGAAGAAGTCAACTTATTTCCCACCCACTAGGCAATTTTTTTCATTTTTCTTTTTTTTTTTTTAATTTTGGTTCAACACCTTTTATGTCAATTTGAAAACTAATTTCTTTTTATTATTTTACTGAAAAATGTTGGTCAAGACACAAAAAATGTAAATTTGCAGTTTTCACTGACACTCAAGCTTCGGAAGTGGCCAAACTTTGGCAACTGTTTTCTTGCAAATGTTACCTCTGACACCAGGTGATCCCTACCTCTTTCTATTGCAAATATCTCGACTAATATTCAAGATAGCTGGGTGTATTTTTCATCAAAAGTAAGACAAATGAACAGGCTTTAAGGTAATTTCAATAACTCCTTATGCCCAAAGATTGACGAGCTCCTGATTTCTCTATGTCGTGACACAAAATGTAAAGTCCTGTGAATGGAGTTCACGGCCATGCCTGCTTCACTGTGATATATATGACATGATTCGACTTTGCTGTGAGCCTGTGAGGTGTGTTGTATTGTTCGTTGTAATAAACTTCAGTTGTAGCCTGTGTTGATTCAGGAAGTTTATCGGGCTTTGTTTAAAATTCGCCATGAACTGCAGAAATGTGAGCCAAATACTCAAGATCACTAATGCAACCTGGTTCTTGTTTTCTATTGGTGAAAGACAGCATTTCCTTTTAGTAATATATGCACAACTGTACCTCTAATTCATGTAGTTTTTATGCCTGTATTTTTTTTAGTGGCATATTTTAGAGTGTCATGGTTTACAACTTCTTTTTTTAGACAAAACTGTCTCATTTACATTTCTCTTCTAGTAATACCAGTACATGTAATATTATGGTGTTGGTCACACATATCACGCTTTCAATTCCTTCAAAAATTTTGCTGATATTAACAGGTCACGATTAGAGTCAGTATCGTTTAACCGCTGGTGGTTTATTGTCTTTTCATATTTCTGTAAGTTCCTGTCACATTTTGAAACTTCCCGTGTCTATTTCAATTCATGTATGGGTGAAAGGGTGCATTTTGAAAATTAATACGTCACTTCTAGTTCAATAAGGATGTGTGTGTGTGAGAATAACATCATGTCAGCAACGCTTTGTTTTAAGAAGATACAGGAAAGTAATAGGTTGTGGATTTTACTCTATAGAGATGTGTGGCATATTTACTCTCAACACTCTTTGCTAAGTTATTCTTATTCATAATTCTTCCGACTGCTAGGTGGCATCTTGGGACATATACCCAGTATGGCATTTCTTATGAATTTTCAGTACCATTGAATGTAGAGATAACCTAATTCTGTTGTTTTTTTTATCTTTTACGTGTTGACAGAGGTGTGTATCAGAAAATACATTTTCATAGTTAACAACCAGCATGTAAAAAAAAAATCTAGTACATATTTGGGGGTGTGAGCAAGAAAGTCTGTTTTACTTGAAGGACTAGTGTTGCTCCTCATGGATTTGCCAGTGGTGTAAAAAATTCTGAACTTTCAAGACTGGATTTGTGAATATTAATTTGAGTGAAGCTGATAGGTCAACCATAGGTTGCTTCTGATACCATAGTTAACTATTGAGCACGAATTTATTGAAAGGAGAAATGTGTGTGAAGGGTTTAGGGAGAGCTGCATGGCCATTGCTCCACATCTTGACCCCACAGTTTCGGTAAAGTCTGGTTTGGTTTTGAAAGACTGGCAGCTATACATTAATAATAATAACTTTTTTGTGGTTGTCTGCTGGTAGCAGCTATACAAGCCATAATATAATATGCTGGGCAAGAGAAAATAAGCTTCATCACTAAGTCTTATATAATGACTTATTGTGTTGCAAGTGATGTAAAACTGTTGCCAAAACTTTCTTTAAAAAAATAGAAAAGTGGCTTCATTTCTGAATGTTATATAGACATGGGGAGTCATTCAAGAATTTGACTGGGTGTTGAAAATTGGAAAAAATATAATTGTTAAGATGAATAGTTAGTTGACATAAGGTACACCTATATAAGAGAAAGAGGAAGTTCTAATCAAATCTCTTTTGAGTACCTTACAGCCTCATTGGCTGCTGGCATCTGTTTTAGCCTGAGCTGGCTGTGATCTCATGTCAAAATGTTGTATTGTGTTGTAAAAAAAAAATCATAAACCAAGGTAAAATATTAAGGGCTATTTTTTCTTCTTTATGTTGATTTTTCTTCAGGAAATTTTTTCAAAAACAACATTCCAAATTTTCTTGCCTACGTTACAAAATGTCTTGAGGTTATTGATACTTTTGTTTTGTTTTTTTATTGTGTCAAATACACTTGTGCTTAGAATTCCATTGACTCTTCTTTATGAGAGAATTAATCCACGGGGGGGGTTCTGGTTTTTTTGTGGTTTTTTTGTCCCCTGCAGTCCTGTTATTTTTATTTTTTAAATTATTCTTTTTTTTGACTCAAAGGTCACATAAATGAAAAAGTTTTTTCTTTGTCCATCAATTCAAACATTATGAAACATTGTAAATTTTGTCATGAATGAAGACATGAAGAAAAACTTCCCCAACATACGAAGAAAAAGTCTTGTTCACATACTCCTAATAATCCATGTTTATACTTCCTTTTTTTGTTCAAAGTTTCTCAGGTAGCTAAATAACATGGTAAGATGCATAATCTTCCGCACAATTTGTACATTTGTTTATGTTAGGAGAGTTATGGCATAATCTTGAATCATTCTTTTGTGGACTTAAGTACTTCATGTTTATGAATAGGACCTTTTTGTTAATGACATTCAGATGTTCCAAACATTTCTATGCATTTGTTTACCTCTGGGTTTTTTCTATTTTATCTGTGGTGTATTATTCTTACCCTGATGCTAATCTGAGAATACGTCTCACTACATTCGCATTCACCGTGTGTGATAGTCAGACAGGTTCAGTGTTAGTTTTAGCTTTCTTATGCTCAGGCTTTTAGTTTGTAGGGCATTTTTTTTTGTGGACGCTTAGACCGAGCAGAGGGTCTATAGTGGGGCTGTTCCAGCTGTGGTCTATTGCTTTAGACGGAGTAGAGGGACCATAGTTTTCATGCCCAGGCTCAGGCAGGATACTTTTTGTCTCTCTACTCTGTATATGTTGAGTACCTCTGCTTTGTGTGTGTAGAGAGAACCTTTTGCTTGCCGCTGATTTTGTGTCATGGCGACTCGGCCGTCACTTCTGTGGTGTAGTGGTTAGATGCTTTGCTGTTATGCGCAGGAGACGTGAGTTCGACTTCCAAATGGGGAGAATTTTAATTGATTTTTTCAGTCTTTGCGCTGGGAGGTTGTATCTTTCTCAACCCGGGTTAGCCCTGACAGGCAGGATCGGAAGCCTTCCTCCTAAATAATGTAAATTCTGTTGATAGAGGCATAACACACTTGCAATTTTTTTTCTAAATTGTTTGCCACTAATTTGGTTTTATCGTGACTGTTGTCATTTATGGTCAAGAATTGTTCTACAATACTGAGAGTTGAGTCTTCGATTTAAAAAATATATATTTATGAAAATATGCCGAAAAATTGTTGCCATAAGATTTAGTCCTAGTCTACAAAATTTGTACAATGCTACAAATTTTTTTGTCTCGGGTAATCTTTAAATTTCAGGTTATTATACAATAGAGATGCCTTTTGAAATATCGAACTTTGCCGCTGATGAAATAAAGAGTGAAGGAATATTTTTTTTTTTGAGTGTGGAAATATATATATATAATATATTTACAATGGATTGTACAATATTTAACCTTTGCTGTTGTTTCTAAGGCTTTTAGCAGTATTACCTCTTGGTTTCGGTGATGTTGGCATATTTTCTTGTTCTGCGTAATGCCCATTGTGCAATCTAGTTTACAGCTTATATATTTGCAATCAGATATATATATGGCAAGGGCTATTTGATCCTTTTTTTTTTACTTATGAGAACTAATATGTCTCACTGTGAAAGTGTTTATTGTCTACATACAGATAGCCGATAAAACTCTGTTCAAACATATCCTGAATGGAAACGTCCCAAGTCATCATTCTAGTTCAAATGACAATACTGTTACTTTGCTGTGGTTGTGGGTTGTCTGGCCATGGACTAATAACCGATTTATTTTTCAATGTACGTGTTCCAACTTTATGAAAATACATGTTCATGTTCCTGAGATTATGTAGTGTTTGATTTCCCCCAGATATTTTTACATGTCTTGTTCGTGTGTTCTTCAGGCTGTCTGTGAGTGATTATGAAAGTGTGTCTACATTATATCCCAGTGTGCTTTAGTTCTTTTTGTGCTTTTATCTTGGCCATTAGTGACTTGTCGGGTAACTGGCTTTTCTTTAACAGAAAACCTGAGCTCTCTGTGTTCCATCACTGTCCCTCTGTCCTTTGGGTTTTTCTTACATCATCTTGCTTTATCCTACCTCTGTAAAACAATTTCAGTTACTGTGTTGATGTGCGTATCTTAACTTACACACAGCAAAAGTTCTACCAACCTGTGTGTTCGACCATTTTTTTGCTTCACCCTGAAATCCCTCTTCACCTATTTATTTTATTGTTGTAATAATAGATTTAAGAAAAGTGACTGTTTCCTGTTGTTTGAGAAATGTTTGTTCGTGTGTGTCTATGTGTGAGTTTGTTTTAGTTGGAGAGGGGGGGAGTTTTCTGGTTTGGTTTCCTGATCATGCTGCATTTATTAATAACACATAATTTGACGATTTACCACCTATTAGTTGGTTCTTACTTTCCTTTTTGTTATGTTGTGTTAGTTTAGCATTATCTTTCTGTCTCTCTGTTCATGCAGGAGGTTGTGGTTGGTTGGTTGGTGGATGCGCTGGTGTGGTTTGCTCCTTCTTACCTATCAAACATCTATTGTCCTTATCTCTCCTCCTTCTTCTTTGTCTATGTTACTCTCTTGTAACACATCTATTCTTCAGCACTTATATGACCTCATTATGTTGCAAGTGCCGTAAAACTCTTACGAATAATGAAACATGCAGACGGTTGTAGGTGGTTGGTGGGTGCTCTGTCTTGGTTTGTGCCTTCTTTCCTATCAGACTTCTCAGGACTTCTATTGTCCGTATCACTCCTACTTCCTTTCTTTGGATGTTGCTCTCTTGTAATACCTAATCGAATTGTGTTTCAAGTGCTGTAAAACTCTTTACTAAAACTTAACTTTCTAAGGACAAAATTCTTTGTCCTTTAAAAAGAAAATGTTTTGTGATTCTATGGCAGTGGGTGGTTGGCGGGTGCTCTGGTGTGGTTTGCTCCTTCTTTGCTATAAAAAATGTATCGTCTCTATCTCCCTTCCTTCTTTTTTGTGTTTGTTACTCTCTTGTAACACCTCTAATCTTCGGCACTTTTATGACCTTATTGTGTTGCAAGTGCCGTAAAACTCTTACTAAAACAAAAACGATGCTATGGTATTGCCTGATGCACTCTGGTATTTGTGGTGTAGCCGTTGAGCACTTCGCTGTCGCACTTAAAAGAATCGAGTTCAATTTCTGAGTGCGGAGAATTTGTATTGAAAGTCATATCTTGGTCTTTCTGCTAGAATATTGTATTCCACCCAGCCTGGGCTGACCCTGACAGGCAGGAGGGAAAAATCCGTCTCCTAAAGGATCTAAATTGTGTTGATGGGAGTGTAAAAACACCTTTTTTTTAAAAAATATCAGAGGAACAGGCATTGTACAGTGAACTTACTACAATAATGTCCCAAGCTCAGACAAGCCATAATGGGTGGTTGGCGGGGTGGTTGCTCTGGTGCGGTTTGCTCTTTCTTTCCCGTCGAACATCTATCGTCCTTATTTCTTCGCCTTTTTTGCGTTTGCTACTCTCTTGTAATACCTCTAGTCTTTGACTCCTGTATGACCTTTTTTTTTTTTTGCAAGTGCTGTAGAAACCTTTCTAAAAACTAACAAGACGACAATCCGTAATCAAACCCATCATCATCATCATTTAAAAAAAAATAAGATAAAAGAATCCAGGTCACACACATATCCTTTTAAAAAAGAAAACTTGTTCAGAAAGCGAGGATGATGTCCCTTATACTCGTATACGTCCCCGTAAAAAAGGCCAGCACGCCGAAGACTAAGATCGCACAGTCCTTCACGAGCACAAGTTTTGGCACACCTCCCTCATCCTTGCTCAGGATCAACATCTCGGCCACAGGAGGGAAAATGAACACGATGAAAACCACGGTGAAGGATCCACACAGAGACATGGCCAGCTCCACGTTTGGGATGAGGGCCGCCACAAGGTCTGAGAACAGGTGAAGAATTTTAAAAATAATGATAATAATTGACAATAATAACAATACTAATGATAACTACACATTGTATTAATAATAATATCAACAATGACAATCATATATACCGGTATGGTTTACAGTAGCCCTCGATCCCGAAGGGAGAAAGGCAAGTTCTGTTCGCTTTACAAAATACAATAGTAACACATGAACAGTACATTGTGTTCCGACTATCTATTTATCCCCCCCTCCCTTTCTCTCTCTCTCTCTCTCTCTCTCTCTCTCTCTCTCTCACC